TCTCGACTTGATTCCTCAAGGTATTCCCCTTAGGTTGTTAGATGTCCTTGTGTATAATACCAGTCCTGTACCTGTATCCTTAGTTACACCTCTCGATCCTCGAAAGGTTGTTTCGATCGCTTGTACTATGGCCAAATTAGCCACTTTAAATCCTTTTTCTTACGCCTCTGCCGCTCGAGTCGAGAGCTTTAGGCAGTTCAGCGGGCTCCCCTCCGATTGGGAGTTAGTTATCCCGGGTCCCGATGGTAATTTCGCCTGTCCCCCCGAGGGTTGTTGTACCTTCTTTGTCGACCAAGTTATCTTTGGCCTACGCTTTCCTATCCAAGCCGAGCTTTTGGAGATTAGTGACTTGTATAAAATCCCAATAAATCAGTTTTCTCCCAATGCTCTCTGTATCATGATAGCCTTCATCGTTGTTTCCCGTATAGTTCTTCATTCTTTTTCGGCCGAATTTTTTCATTACTGTTATAGTTATCGGCTTCAGAAAGGGGCCCATTGTTTGATCCGTCGTCCCGGCGTGACCTTTCTTGATGATCTTTCTTCAAACGTCCCCGAGTGGAAGTCGAAATTTGTCTTCATTCGTCCTCCCGTCGGTGCTTATCCTTACACAAATAACTGGATAAGCACCAAAATTAAACAGAATAAACGGTCTCGATCCGAGGATTTCGAAAGACTCTTAGCAGAGTTGAATAAATGCACTTATAGCGCTCGACGCATAATAAAAGACCGTGGGTTGGTCAATCATGCCCAAATCGTCTGTTATGACGATCTTCCTCAGCTCGATGATCCTCGTAAGCTGTTCAGCATTTCTTTCAATACCGTGTCGTCTCTTATTCTCTTCTAACCCTTGCTTTTATTGCCATTTTTTCAGTTAACACACTCAAGCGTTTCGAGGTGAAGAAAACGCCTACTGCTCCTGTTCCACCCGGCAGGTCAGGTGCACAATCGACTGCGACGGCTCGAAAGCGCAAGTCCTCAGGCCCGAGTGCCCGTAAGAGGCCTCAGGATGATCGCGCCACTCCCTTGCTTCTTGGCGACCCCAAGCGTCGTAAGGTCGACAAGGGTAAGGAGAAGGTGGACGAGGGGAACACTGTCCCCAAGCGGACAGAATCGTCCGTTTCCTATAAGGACGCGTTGGTCAAGATGTCGTCCCGACTCTGGAATCATCCGGAGCCG